AAGTCTGGCGCCGATGACGTTAAAGACCGCTGCGTGGTTCCCGGCTCAGAGACTAGTAACACTGGTGAGGTTAACTGTTGGCCGCAAAGACTGCGTGGTTCCTGGTACAGCGCCGGGTAACTTTAGTGAGGTTACTGGTAGCCACCAATGCTCTGCCTCAGATAAAAAAAATAAAAGTTTCCCTCAACTTTTGGCGAAATTCAGTAATCTGGCTGGTAATTAGGGTTAATTGTCTTTCATTATAAAAAAAAACGAAGAGGGAAATTCTAGGGGCATAATTTTGCCGTATTTACGTTTGAGTTTCATGGCTTTGGTCAGTTGATAAGCTGCAAGGACTGACGGCGTTGTTTCCATGTTGATAGACCTGGTGTATTGAGGGTCGGTGTTTGGTAGTATAGCTGTACGAGATACTATAACATTTTCTGTATGGTTAGGTTAGGTTAGGTTAACATGGAAATGTAACCATAGTTCAATTAATGATCACACACACACACACACACACACACACACACACACCACCCTGGGAAACAACAGTGGGTCGGCTTCACACCTGACTTCGAAATAACACAACACCACCCAGTAGGGTGGGGTACTGTGACACCACCCTACACCACCCGGTGTCCCCATGACCACGTGAGGTCCTTCATATCAACACCCGAGGACGAGTTACTGTACCACGTGAACACCACACCACCCGGTGTCCCCATGACCACGTGAGGTCCTTCATATCAACACCTGAGGACGAGTTACTGCACCACGTGAACACCACACCACCCGGTGTCTCCATGACCAGTCCAGGCCGGGGCCATCTGTAAACTATAATAATGACCTACCCACCCCATATCTTTGTATGTAATAAGTCATTTTTGTCCAATGAATATTTTCAGCCTTCGGGCTGCAGACTTTTTCAATAAACTGTTAATTATTATTATTATTATTATTATTATTATTATTATTATTATTATTATTGTTATTATTATTATTATTACACACACACACTACTACTACTTTGCTGTCACTCGGAGTCCAGTATGATGATCATCCAGCTATGATTCAATAGTATGAGTTATTAAGGATGTCACCTACGTTGGTGAGTTTTGAGGTGACTAAAGAAACCGATGCGGGACCGGCAGTGTCGTTCACAGATGTTGCACATGTGGGGGGCTACGTCTAGTGCGTCTTTCCGGCGTTGGCGCTTGTCTGCCTCAGTATGCAGTCGGGTTAACTCGAAAGTCTTGGCACCTTCTTGTGTGGTGATCCTCCAAGAGTTACGGTGTGGAGTAATCGTCTCCCAGGTGAAGGAGTCGATTTGGCAGTTTTTCAGGTTTGTCTTAAGACTATCCTTATACCTTTTAAGTTGCCAGCCAGCGTTACGTTTACTATTCGTTAAGTGACTGTACAGTAAAGTAAATGCTTTGGCGGTCTACTGTCGTCCATGCGGGTAACATGGCCAGTCCAGGGTAGTTGTTCATGGATAATGGTTGCCTCGATGCTCCTACAGTTGGTGTAAGCGAGAATACCGGCATTTGTTCTCTTGTCTTCCCAGCGAACTCGGAGGATGGAACATAAGACTACGTTGGTGAAAATTTCAAGTACCTTGAGGTGTCTCCTGTGTGTGATTCATGTCTCGCTGCCATATAGCAGTGTGGGGAGGACCACTGCTCGATATACGTGACACACACACACACACACACAAACATTAGGTTGGAAGCAAAATGAGAAAAGGCCATTAGTTATAGTGAAAAGGGCATTTTGTGAAACAAGCTGGTAAAAACAAATCTAATGAATTTTAAGGTGTTGAATCCGAATTTTCATTTTGGCATGCTTAATTTTGTGTGTTAGGGTCTCTAAACTGGAAATTGAAGATGTCTGCCATAATTCATGATTATTATATCTCTGGCACTTATAAAGATAAATTCAAAGGTAGCATTGTCACCATTAATGTTAAGATATGTTGAAACATGGACAGATGCATCTAACTGTCGCCTGGGGGCGAAATGTCACTGGCAAAAATAAGGGCCATCACTATTGCTTACTTAAAATTTAATGTCTTTTCAAGTCAAAATTGTGACTAATAACATATATGTTGCACCTGTTAAACATCTCGTCCATCCCAAAATTTGTACTTTTAGTTTATGTATGTAATTGACATAAATCATAATGAGTGTACATTCTTTGTGGGTGTTTCTTTTTAGTGCTACTGTAACGTGCGATCTACAAAGATATATTTAGTCTAACCTAACCTAATCTAACCTTACATGACCTAACTTAATCTAACCTTACATGACCTAACTTAACCTAACCTTACCTAACGTGACTTAACCTGACCTAAATATTTTGTAGACCGCACGCTAACCTCACCTAATCTAATCTACTCTAACCTTACCTGCCCTAACCTAACCTAACCTAACCTTACTTACCCAAACCTAAATATCTTGCAGACCGCATACTATAGTAGCACCGTGTTTTTCAGAGTGAAATACCCGAATTACAGAGGGCATTTTTAAATGCGATTTATAGTCCTTAAAACTCAAAATTGAGGATGCTATCATGTAAATTTTCGCTCAGCATATCCAAGTCAGGTAAAAAAAAGAAGATAGGTTGGCAGCTTGTACTAAAAATGCCACACCCGAACAATTTTTCAAAAGTGCTTCCACTCTATATCATCTTGCCACCCCCCCCCATAAGAAAATTCCTGGCTACACCCTTGTATTATTGTTGGTGATTTCGGCCCATATTATGATTGGGCTAGAATCCCTAAAATAGGCCGAGGTCAGCACTGGATGTCGGCCGTAGATCATTGGGCTAAAGTCACCATGGGCCTACTTCCCCTGTATCCAACTGTCGGGAAGTATTACAAATAGTCTAGCCTAACCTAACCTAACGCAATCGTTGTACTTTTCACCCGGCATGAAAATGTGTGTGTGTGTGTGTCAGAGGGCTTGACGGACACTCACTCTCTTCTTAAAAGCAAAATGACAGAGAGGTTGTTAACAGGGGATGTATACATAACCTACAATTTTCCATTTTTCCTTTGTGTCCCGAATCTGTGCTAGGGTGAGAGGCAGGAATGACAGTGGGAGGTAAGGGGGTGAGAGGCAGAGGGTGACAACGGGAGGTGAGAAACACGGAGTACCAGGGAGAGTTATCGTGAGGCAGGGAGTGGTAGACAGAGATACCGGGAAGGTGGGCGACAGGGGATGACAGGAGGTTTGGGGAGAGGAATCAGGCTTGTAGGTTAACAAGGGCAGTGTAATATATGAGGTAAGATACTTATGAATATTCAGTGAATATACTGATTATAATAATGATAGTATGACAATACTTTGACATACCATAAGGTGGTAAAGGTTAGAGACTGTTGAGAGAGAGAGAGAGAGAGAGAGAGAGAGAGAGAGAGAGAGAGAGAGAGAGAGAGAATCACTCCGAAGTAAAATTAAATTTGCCATCATCCATATTCGCCAAGGGTCAGTTTTTAGTCTCTACCATAAAAAAGTCAGACAGAAGAATAGATGAGTTTGTGTTTTATAAAATGAAAAGTTTTAGATATATATGGGACTGTTAATCCTTAAATCACAATGTCTTAAATTAAATTTCCTAATTCACTACCACGAAACACCTTCCTCTATTGTACACCTGTACACTTGGATTAAATTCATGATCTCAATGTTAGGTAGTAGGCAGCTACCAAACAGGGAGGTACTACCGCCTGGGAAGATATTGGAAGCATAATGTGTTGTCTAATGGTAGACCCTGCTGCCACATGGCATCACGAAAATTGTGACCAAGTCTCAGGTTGCTGATCTGATTTTCTGCCTCATTTACACACAATTGCAGGGTCTTAAGTGTTCATCTCCTTTTGACAACACAACATACTGTATGTACATACTGTATATCGTTTCTCACTCGATCTTGTTTTTAATTTTTGTATTTCTTTATGGTTCTTTATTTTTATTATTATTATTATTATTACTAAATAATAATAATAATAATAATAATAATAATAATAACAATAATACACCTAGCCGTGAATGAGTACCTGTATGTACAACTGGAGAAGTGAAAAGGGTTGAGTACAGTGCCGGCTATGCTGCTTCCTTGTGTACTGAAGGCTCAATATTCAGCGTGCTGTATACACACTGGCCCGATGGGACCCACTTTACATACTGTACACTGAGGGTGGACGAGACACAAGTGGAAATACAGCCCAACAGTATTTTTCCCCGTGTAACAATAATGACTGACAGGAGAAGCAAGTGATTTTTTTTAATGTGGGGTTTGTCTAGAACTTATCCTTTAAGAATCACCAAGACGGAGGGCATGAGAAACAAACAAACCATGATAATATAACACAGTGAATCCAGAAAATAATTTCATCCGGTTGAAAATGAGAAGTTGTCAGTGAAGCTGTATTACCACCTCCCACAAAGGACATCCACAAAACTGAGTAAATATTGACAGCATCGCTCTCCGGATATCTGAACAAAGTCACATTTTTATGCTGAGGAACATCAGTTGCAGGAGGTTGTTGAACTTCGTTAAAGTCTTGAAGGTACATGTGTGTGTGTGTGTGTGTGTGTGTGCGTGTGTGTCTATGAATGGTGCAACCGTACCTGTCAACATGTGTCTTCAATTCAAAACAATTAAACATCAAGTTCATCTCAAATAATATATATGTGCTTGAAGCAGCACCTGGCCAGCTGGAGGCTGCCGCGGCGCCTGCGTGTGTCGCCTCCTCCTCGCTACCTGTGATGAGTTTCTTATTCTTCCATATTTCCTATTTCACAAACGGCAACACAGATAATAAAATAAGTCATAAAATCCTCAGAAGAGAGCCTCAACGTGAACGACGGCCGGCAGTAAAAGTCACGAATTCGTGATGTTCAGGTGATATTTGGTGGGTGGAGGACTGACACGGTAACACCTCCGTATCTGAGGGACTCCACGTGCTGGCACTCCAGCAGCCTGGCCAGCTCAGTTACCCCTCAGCGGTGGTGGAGGGACGTTACCTCTCTTCCTCTCGCTCTCTCCCTTCGCTCGCTGCATCGACGCTGCGTAGCGGTGCGCGCATGTGTTACGTTATTGTCAAGAGCTGTTTTCAGGATCTCAGTGCTTAGATATGCAGAACTGGTACCGATCTCTTTGATGACCATTTAATATATATATATTTTTTATAATAATTCACAACGACCAGGGATTAATGCACGCAATAAAATATCGAGAGGCAGTTTTGCAACATCATAACGATGAGATGACAGGATGGGATGTAGCTACAGTTCTGGAAGGGTTATTATCTGCCAGGTGGACACACAGTGTACAGTAACCAACAACTTCTGCCACAACAGACGATTAATGGGGAGACGATACGGACTTACCTGCTGCCTCCTCCCTGAACTAAACAAGAAACAGTGATAAACAGGAATATGGAGATCAACAGAGGAACTCAAAAATTAATCCGTTTGGTCTTATTGCCCGTGGTGTTCCTGGCCACCATAACAGGTAAGGACAACACCCAATACCTTTTTTTTATTTCTCTCCCCCATTTTCCGACTAATAACCAAAATAGAGAGACGCCATCATAATTCTTCACTCAAGTGTTCTCCTCGACCCTATTGTGTGTGTGTAGCGATTAATGTCACTCCCTGGTAAGTGTGGCAACTGCTATAACTTGTTGATGAAATAAGTGGTTGCGGATAATTACAGGTGTCAAGGTGGGGAGGAGGAAGGGAGGGTTCCAGTTAGTATTTGTACTTGTGAGAGACAAACTAATGGTGAAGGGTTATCAATTAGGCCAGCGGGACACCTGAACTCTTGTGTCCAGCTGTTGGTGCTCGTCAAGTTTATACACAGCAGCACAGGCAGTCGTCAGGTACTGTCCTTCCCTCAACCCTCTATGTCTGTGAACTTTTCAAGACCGTCCGTAAACTATTTAAACGTCTGTAAACTCTTTAAGGAAAGTCTGTAAACCCTTTCAATTTTGAAAGAAAAAGATTCATATCTTTAAAAAGTTTGTAAACTGCATAGAATTAAAAAAAAAACATGAAAACTTTTGTAAAATACTTAAAAAAAAAGATCGTTTATATCACTTTAAACTGTCCGAAACCTCTGTAAAGATCTTAAAACTTTATAAAGGTCTGTAAACACTACAGAAACTACAATCAACACCCCCTCCCCCGCCAAAAAAACCTGAACTCTTTAAAAAAAATTAACACAGTAAAACAATGATAAATTCTTAAAACGTATCTGTAAACATTGTAAAACATTCTCTAGGTTCCATAAACGCTTGTAAGCATTGTAAAAAAATGAGTCCTGGACTTAATCACACACATTGCTTGACGCGGGGCAAAATCTAAGCTACGATATTAGCAGGTGATTAAGAGTGTAGCTTCCGGCTGTGTCTGTTAAGGTTCACTGACTAGACTGACAGGTCATCTGCCTCAAGCGTTGACCACTAGGGTTTTTCTTTACATTAAAACAACGTTAATCAAATTTTTAACGTGGATATAAAAGTAGAGGTAGAGAGAGAATCGTATAAACGCAGAAAAAGAACAATAACACGAGTTTAATGGAGATAATAAAGTGCAACAGTATAATTCAATAAGGTCGATCATCCACGAGGAGATGGACAGTAATGATGCCCTAATCACTGTGAGAAATATACATTTCTGCAGTTAAATCTACCCCGATAGAGGCACAAATACAGAGATATTAGTGAGTTAACCTTCACCACACAAGGATAATAGTAAACTAACTTTCACCACACAAGGATAATAGTAAACTAACTTTCACCACACAAGGATAATAGTAAACTAACCTTCACCACACAAGGATAATAGTAAACTAACCTTCACCACACAAGGATAATAGCAACTAACTTTCACCACACAAGGATAATAGTAAACTAACTTTCACCACACAAGGATAATAGTAAACTAACTTTCACCACACAAGGATAATAGTAAACTGACGTTCTCCACACATAGATAATAGTAAACTAACTTTCACCACACAAGGATAATAGTAACTAACTTTCACCACACAAGGATAATAGTAAACTGACGTTCTCCACACATAGATAATAGTAAACTAACTTTCACCACACATGGATAATCGTAGGCTAAGTGCTACCATACATGGATGATAATAATTAGCAAACTTTCACCACACGTATATAATCAACACAGAAGAACAGAGACTGATTCTCTCTGTGTTACTACTGATCATATATTCATTGAAGTAATTTGCCACATCTAAATTGCCTGGATACACATGTTTGTGTGGTGACTTACCTATCACTTGCAGGCGTTGGTAGCGTGTGGCGGCTCCCCTGTGAGTATCTGTGGAGTTAATTGAAAAACAAACAAAAAACATTATCAGTTTTGTCTTCGTTCAGTAGAGATATAATGTTTGTTTTTTCAATATTTATTTTTTCTCTGCTTATGGCAGCATAAAATCACAAGTTATAATCAAGATTTCCTTTATTAATTATCGCCGACCTGACGTTTACTTCTCATCCGGCAAAATTCAGGAGAAAACATATAACCAAGAAAGCAAGAAATGAAAAAAATCCACAAAAATCACAAAACTTACATTAAGTTAATCTCCGGAAAATAAAATAAAATAAAAGTAAATACTCTGATAAGTGAAGCATATTATGAACTAATGTATATGTTTGTATTGGTGTTTGTCATTATAATCAAATCACTGGGGCATTTAGCGAGAGAGAGAGAGAGAGAGAGAGAGAGAGAGAGAGAGAGAGAGAGAGAGAGAGAGAGGACTTAAATTTAGCTATGTAAATGGACAGAAAAAATAGAACATTACCCCAGGAGTCAAAAGAGTGACTAGTCTGCCTTTCTGAATATCTTCTAATCTATTTAACAATATTTCTCCCCTTTTTTAATTATCCAATCATACCAAACATTTTTTTTTTATTTATCTACCAATTGATTTTTTCTATATATCAATCAAACTACTAATATATTCTGCTGTATGTCTATTAAGTATTGTTTAACTGTATTGTCAATATTAAGGAAGTGATGGATATCTTCCTTCATTGATGCCTTGGCTGTATTCTCAATGACTCTTGGTTAACGTTTACAGTGACTTTTTGTTTACATTGACTGTTTACGTATAATGTGAATCTCTGTTTACGTTTACAATGACTCTGCTTACGTGTACAGTGAATATTTATGTTTACAATGACTCTGCTTACGTGTACAGTGCTCTTTCTGTTTACATTAATAGTGCCTTCCCTTTTACATTCACAGTGACTCTACGCTTACAGTGACTCATTATGTTTACAAGTACAATAATTCTCTCTGATATGCTTTGACTCTTCAGGTTTACGTGTACAGTGACTCTCTGTTTACAAGTACATTGAATCTCTCTGTTTACGTTTACAGTGACTCTTCGTGTTTACGCTCACGTGACTATTTCGTTTACAGTGACTTTATGTTTACAAGTTCAGTGACTCTCGTTGCTTAGATATGCACTAACTCGCCCCGAATACATGTATTGTACACCTGAACGTAAATATTGAGTCGTCTTCAGTTCATGTTAATTAACTTGTGCTTGACACACGTACACTAAACGTAAAAGTACTGTAGAGAAACGTCTGAACTGAGTCATAACAAGTTTCTGTACACTCACTCGTCCTTGATGCATGTACTGTACACTTAGACGCCTGTACTGACCCATAGTATATGGTCCAGGACACACACACACTGTACACTGAGACTGTACTGGTTCGCCCTAAATGAAAAAGTGAAAGGTGGTCCCATAAGTATGACTGCCCGTTAAGGACAGTGTGGATATATTACAATGTATACTAAGCCGTCAGTACACAAGGAGACAGCATGGCCGGTACTGGTCTCGACCGGTGTCACTTCCCCAAGTTGTAAACTTACTGTAGATACCCATTTACAGCTGGGTGAACTGGGAGCACCCGGGAATCGAAACACCGACCCCTGGAACAGGAGGCGAGCGCTCTCGCCATAGATACATGTACTGTACATAAGAAATACATACAACAGGATCTTGCACTCATTACAGGTAACACAAAACAGGTACAAACTCCCACTCCCTAATTATTCCATTATTACGGCACATTTTTGTGGGCAGTGGGATAAACTTTGTAACGGAACTAATTTAATTAACTTGTTTCCTCGCTGATTAAACTCTGTCCTACACACGAACGAAAATGCCAATTTCAAATGAAACCAGTCGAAAAAAATGCATAGATTGAAACTGCATTGAACGGTGAAATTGATTCTGAGTATTGACGGAGAAACTCAACGGACAAGAGTGGTCGTGTAGAGGAGAGCTGAAGGTGTACAGGAGTGGTCGTGTAGAGGAGTGCTGAAGGTGTACAGGAGTGGTCGTGTAGAGGAGTGCTGAAGGTGTACAGGAGTGGTCGTGTAGAGGAGTGTAGAAGGTGTACAGGAGTGGTCGTGTAGAGGAGTGTAGAAGGTGTACAGGAGTGGTCGTGTAGGGGAGTGTAGAAGGTGTACAGGAGTGGTAGTGTAGAGGAGTGTAGAAGGTGTACAGGAGTGGTCGTGTGGAGGAGGATTGAAGATGTACAGGGAGTTGGGTGTATGGAAGTGTTCAAGGATAGGGATATATGAAGAGGTATTTGCAAGCCTACAAAGACAGGCATGTAAGGAGGTGTCCGGGATTAGGGGTGTATGGAGGTGTACAAGGATTGAGGTATGTAGAGGTGTATTTTAAGGTGTACAATAATTATGTGATGTAAGGCGATGCATTTGAAGGCATCTATAAGAGTAGGGGTCTACAGTATATATCATTGTGAAAGCGCTACTATATTACCTTACGTTTATTTTCCCATTGATCGGCGTTTTTGTTCATCTTGGGGTAAGGGACACAAAATCTTTCTACTGAACTTCCTCCGTCTCCACCAACCATGAGACACCTCAAGCATGCGTATATAATAATAATAATAATAATAATAATAATAATAATAATAATAATAATAAACGGTTTATTAATAGAGTTGCAGCCGGTGGCTGAAAATATACAGACTTACATTTGATTTAGACAATGATATAATATGCATTGAATACATTTACAGGGCTGTACAGTACATAAATCAGGAGTTGTTTATTATTTTAACAATAGATGGGATGGTGCTGTTCTTATATCTATGGGTGCGGGCTCTTATGGGCTGAATTTTGTTGTAGTGGCGGACTGCGCGAGTTGGGTGGGGGGCTGCAGGAGGTGGCGATGGAAAGGGTGGTGCAGTAGTCCCCTGCCAAACCTTTCCAGTGCTTGGTGGTGGAGGTCACTGAGGGATGGCATTTCCAGGGTGGAGAGAGCGTTGGTGTAGCTGGAGTATTCTGCACCGAGCATGATTCTGCAGGCCCTTTTCTGTACCTTCTCTAGCTGACGTTGTTGGGTGGAGTTGAGAGAAGACGACCAGGCTGGTGACGCATATACTGTACCGTTGTCTCATAACCTCAATGTTATTATACGAAAATTACACA